AGTTATCTTAATAAAATATTGTAAAAATGAACTTTTTTGTTGGATGGTTTTGGGAAATTTTTTGTACTAAGGATCTATAGAAAGAGTTTTTAAAAATTCCTAGTTGTACTCTTATTATAATTGTAATATTGTTAATTATTTAATAAAAAGTTTTCAAACCAAGAGGTTATCTTAATACCAAAAAAAAAAAAAAATTGTCTAATACTTTTTAGTCTAATAGATTAATTGATAATCCGCCAGTCAACAGAAAAATAAACATAGTATAACATGATACAAATCACTAGTAATCATTATTATTTTGCCTTAATTCAAGCCACTCTAACTACTTTTGTATTCAGATTTGATGCCAAATACAGTCTTGGATATTACCAAATATGAAAATCAATTTACAATATAGTAAAGAATACTTTAGAATCGATTTATATATTAATATAGTCAGTAGCAGAATCATACATACATTAATAATAAATTTTTGAATTAATTCTTATATAAATGGTCTTATAAATACATAGTCTAGAAATCCATTATAATCCCAAATGTTTTATAAGGTAGTTGTTTACCAAATCAGAAAACAAATAATGATTGGTGTAAATTTAACTCTATAAATTAGTATAAAATAGCTATAGACTTAAATGAAAGTACAGTGCAGGACAGCAAAAGACATCCAATCTATACATATAAGTGCCAATTTTTGGCGCTTATATAATCAATTCTGATTGGCTAATTTTTGAGTAATTGATTTTGATTGGTCAAAAACCTATATGTTTTCTTTTTTTTAATATTAAACACCAATTTTTTGAACTCATATAAACTTTAATCTCTTATAACTTTTTTAAACCAAAGAATAAAAAAAAATCCTCTGACAGAAATATAGTTTATCTAAAAATCTATCAATTTGTCAGAGGGTTTTTTGATTTAGCTTGTTTTAAAAAAGTTATAACACTTTAAAGTTTTATTAATAGATGTTGGATGTCTCTTGCTATCCCACGCTGTACCAAGAATTTTCTAATTGTACAAAAAAGGGTGTGATCTGCATCATCCAAATTTGGTAATATCCGAGACTGGAGTAGCTACGATTCCAATTTGTTTACTTTCAAACAATGCGTTCAGAATACTGTTAGCTTCTAGATCTGAATACTCCGTAAGTATTACTTTGAGGTCATTAATATGGAGAGCAGGTTTTAGAATAGTTGGTGGGGTCAGGTATCTCAAAAAGCTTGCTGTCTACAACAGACCACTTTAAAAGTATAGACAGATGTCTACTCAATTGAGAAATCTCATCGATGTGACTTTCTTGCATTTCTTCAAGACTTTGACAGTACCGAGTAATGCAGGAAACTCACCAATATTGACACACAATTCCTCTACTTCATATATGCTATCATCATCTCCTTTATAATTTACTCGTCTTTTCTATTTACCGGTAAAAAAAAAAAAAAAAAAAAAAAGTTAGCAAGAATACTAGAAGCAAATTGCTTCCGTGATTCAGACTAAGTCAGGACTTTCTCTAACTGCACGTCGCGGATGCTCACTGTCCGGACGCTCTTCTTCCCCTATACACGCAGCACGGAGGCGTAGCAGCTCAATTACTAAATATACACGTCGCGGATGCTCACTGTTCGGACGCTCTTCTTCCCCCATACACGCAGCACAGGGGCGTAGCATATTTAGAAATTAAAACATGAAAGTATTGACCTCTAGAGCCCTGAGGAGAGCAGCGATTTTCTTTCCTTCTCTTGTATCGGGCTCAAATCTCCCCCCTAAGATGCTGAGTTCTTTTGACAAACAGAAGTGCGAGTCATGCAAACTTGAATTGCGTGTTTCCCTTTTAAAAAACTCTTCCCATGCAGTGAGAGATCCCCAAGAAGAATATGGACGATTCCAATATTCTGAGGAAAAAAGAAAAAAAAGTATAAAAAGCAATGTCGCGTCTTTAATAAAACAAGATCAATAAATGTGAGGAACCAACATAAGGTTGGTTCCGGTCCTCACATTTAATATAAATATGAAATAATAATATATAAAAGATTACAGTATGTTATTTTTACGAAGCCCATAGTGTATTACGTAATCAACCAATCAGCGTAAGATTTGCAATAATCACATCGGAGTCAAATCCGCCCAGGGTCAATTTTTACTTACAGGTTTTCCCTCTCGAGCACCCATATTACCTTTAAGTTGTCATTATGTCAAAACGAAATTCAAAGTCCAAAAGCAATGCAGAACGATTAGAACAACTTAGAACGAGGGTAATGATTGAGAAGGAAGGAGTAGGAAGTGTATGTACGCGAATGACGTTATAATTTCAACTTTTCGTGGCGACAGCATATTTTAACTCTAATTTGTCAAGATTTCTTCAAGTGAATTTCCCTATCATAGTTCGAATCGTCACCAAGATATTGATTACATTAAAGAATTTATAAAGGTGGCTCAAACTTTTTATAAATTATTAAATTTTATAATTGATCTGGTAGCCGCTTTATTTCTTATTTGCTATATACTGAATGGTAGAAATTCAGAGTTAAAATTATCAGAAAAGAACAATATGACATGGAGTTTGATTTAATTGGGGTCGATACTGCCATAGCAAACGCGTTAAGGCGTATTATGATCGCCGAGGTTATAAATTTTATTTTTTTTTTTATCAGTTAAAAGATTTAGATTCAATGCAATCCTAGACATAAGCTGATTTTATTATATTAAAAAGGTTCCCACAATGGCTATAGAGAAAGTTTACATTTATAATAATACTTCAATTGTACAAGATGAAGTGCTCGCACATCGATTAGGTTTAATACCTATAAAAGCTGATCCTGATAGGTTCTATTTCAAACATGGTATTTATTTAGTTTATTTCTTCTATTATTAAATTTTTAAGATGATTTATTTTTCTTTTATTTAGCTAATGAATCACCAACAGATATGAACACGATCGTATTTAAAATTGAACATGAATGTACGTTCAATCCTAAGGCTCGAGAAGGTGAAACAGATCCACAAAAGCTATATATAGGCCACAACCGTAAGTTATCACTCATAGCAATAATTCATTTTTACGAAATAAATTAAGCTAATCAATGTATCTTTTTGTTCTTTTTTAATTAGTTTTATCTGATTCTTTAATTTGGATTCCAAAAGGGGACCAAGAAGAACAATATGCAAGTTGCCCCATCAGACCAGTTCATAATGATATTTTAATTGCGCAAATGAGACCAGGCCAAGTGTGGATTTTTATTAATTATTATGATTCTGTGATTTGTTCAAGGGTTTCATGATGTAAATAGAAAAATTTTTATTCCATAGAAAATAAAGTTAGAAGCTCATTGTGAAAAAGGGATTGGAAAAGACCATGCAAAATGGTCACCAGTTGGTAAAATACTCGTTTAATGGAAGTAAATTTTTAGGAGTCCCACTATTATATTGAAATTATTATTCGGTTTTAGCAACTGCATCATACCGACTGATGCCAGAAATAATTTTAAAAAAGGAAATCACTGGAGACTTGGCAGATAAATTTGCTGCTTGCTTCACTAAGGGAGTTGTCGAAGTAGAAAATAGATATGGTGAGAGTGAAATGCCTATTTTATAAATATTATTATATATGAGTGCCGCCAAGAAAAACCTGTCATCGGGCTTTCAATTATATTTTGTACCGGACATATTCCCTAAGAAATCAAATAGATTTTGTCCGGTACAAAATATAATTGAAAGCCCGATGACAGGTTTTCCCTTGGCGACACTCGTATGCATCTCGAGAGAAAAAACCCATGAATATCTCAGATCTTGATTTCATTTATACTGCTGTACTATTTATACTGTGTATTATGTGTTGTAATAGTTAATACGTAACAATTAAAAAGCATATAGATTATGTATTATAAAATTGCTTAAAAAAGTAAATAGATTACGTATTGTAAAAAAGACCCCGGGTATCGTATACAATGTTAAAAAGAAATAAAGAGTTCGGAAGACGACTACAACAATAACGATAATACGGCATTTTAATCAAAAGTTCTAGCCATAAACTTACACCACTCTTGTTAGTCATAGTTTCAGAATTTGCTGGATGATCATAATACTGCAGTACTGTAATACAATAATAAAAATGTATGGGTCTGTGTTAAAAATAGAAGTGCATGCGTGCGTACGTACTTACGTACGTAATTTTGTTTTCGTTATATTTCGTTACTTAATTAAAATAAAATATAAATAGGGTCAGCCAAGTCGAAACTTCTCTTCATAACAAACTTTTTTTTTTCAAACATGGAACTTTTAAATATAGGCAAACATTGCGCCAATCCTGACTGCAAACAATTAGACTATCTCCCCATTAAGTGTCAATATTGTAAGAAAGATTTTTGTGCTGAACATTCAAAGCCTATTGAACATAATTGCAATGAGGCACCTAGCGGAGACGGTGAGCGAGTTCCCATTTGTCCCTTGTGTAATACACCTGTCCCAGTTAAAAGAGGCGAAGATCCTAATGTTAGAGTAAGTTTCAATTTAAATATAGGACACCGCAAATTTCAAAATGTCCCGGGAGTTTCTTATATTAATATTGTATCTTTTTTTGTTTCAGATGGATCAACATATAGCAAACGGTTGTCGTCCACCAGCTAAAACTACTTCAACAAAGCCATTCAATGCATGTTCTTTTGGCAAATGCAAAGAAAGAGTTGCTGTTCGTCTGCTGTGTTCTGGATGTGGCAAAAATTATTGTATAAAACATCGTTTGGGGCCTGATCATATGTGTGATAAAGTGAAAATAGATAATAAAGTAAACAACTTTTCATCCATTATAACTTCAAGGAGTTCTCCTATCAAAGCCTGGGTTGGAAAGATGTTCAAATAGTAAACGAGCGAGAATTAGTACGTACTTAAAACTAATCATTTAAAAATCAACCATTAAAGACTTTACTTCTCATTTTATGAGAATTCATTTTAATAAACAATTTATTCATATTGCATTTTTGTTACAACTTTTAATATAAACATATAATAAGAATTTTTATTTACTAATGTATCGTATACAACTTATACTGTATTATGAAATTTTTATCAGTTATATAAAATAAAAAAAATAATCTATATACAGTAGTTTAGTTTTTATTAATAATAATAATAAACAAATTATTGTAGTAATTTATACTAAAAATTGGCTTATAATAAAAGTTTGATTTTTTTTTTACACTAAAATTTACTGTGCTGTATTTATATAATTTTTATATAATAAAATTTTCTAATCAGTATATGCAGTATATACAGTATTATTATATTTATTTTAAAAGTTTTTATTTAAATTATATATACTGTATAGTAAATAAAAATATATATAATTAGTTAATAAAAAATTATACTGTATATTTATAAAAAAATATTTAATAATAATTAAATTAAATAAAGTTGATTAATACAGTAATATTGTTAAAATTACATATACTTTTTTTAAAATTATTTATATATTGTATATAGTATATATACAGTATATTAAAATTTTAACATTTGTAAAAAACACTACTGCAGATAAAAATCTAATACAGTATTATAAAAACCAATTTACTTCAAACATCTAAAATTTAGTAATATTCTTAATGTTAATGTGCTTAGTAATGTAATCGGATAAAGTCGACGTGGTCGACTCAGAAGGTAATCCTAGAATAATACGAAAAAATGTGAAAATTGTATTCCAGACTTATCGCTAGCCTTTGTAAATATCCGGACACATCAGTTAACACTTTATGTCTAATAAGCATATAATGGGCGACTTTTATAACGATAATCGTGTGACGTTAAACACGGAAGGTATCGGGTTCGAAATTAATCCATGATATATCTATATATATACAGTATATATAATCGTAAGTATATAACTATTGGCTAAAAAAAAGTTGGCATATCACATCATAAAAACAATGGTTTTTAGAAGTATTTTTTCAAGAAATTTTCAAAAACGACTTCATGGCTCTTTACAACCGATTACACGTCCTCATGAAACAATCGAACAAAAGCGAGCTAGATTACTTTATCAATCTCGAAAGAGAGGAATTTTGGAAACTGATTTATTACTTTCAACATTTGCTAAAAAGTTTCTTAATGAATTTACCGAATTAGAATTAAAGGAATATGACGAATTATTAAATATGCCAGATTGGGATATTTATGAGTTTGTAACTAATAAAAAACCTGCTCCTGAACGTTGGGTAAAGAGTCCATTGTTTCAAAAATTAAAACTTCATGTAAATAATGAAGGAAAAGTAATTTTGAGAATGCCAGATTTGTAATTATCGATATTGGTAGTGCTAGAGATGTGATAGGACACTTTGTGTAATGGATGTCATGTGCATCATGTTCAATCAAATTCATCTGTGTATCCGTGTCACATTCAAACAAATAAATTTCATTTTTTTAAATGGTGTTTTCAAACATTCAAATTTATTTTACTCATTACGATGACGATGAACTTGGAGTCCAAATCTATTTCTGAACTGTCAGCGTCGCTTCGTCAGCTAATCGGTGATAAGTTGTCACGCGAGAAGTTAAATGAAATTTTAACTGTAAGTATAAAAGAGTGATTATCATTTTTTGTCGTATTTTTTTTTTTTATGAATTCATAAGAAATTAAATTCTTTGTTTATTTCACTCAAGATTCTTCACCAAATGAAAGCTCAAGGTGTAACTGAGACAAATAACCCTGAATGTGCTTCGGCTTTGAATTATTTACGATCCTTGCAACTTGATCTAAATAATCGCTCAAACATCAAAAC